GTTGCATCACCTTTTCCACATCTTGATTATTGCTGGCCATTTTCCTTCAGCCTCTGCTTCTCCTGAGTTTTTCACACACATTACACTTCAGTCATTGGGCATGGAAAAGACTGAGAGCAGGCAGGAAGGAGAAGGGAGAAGGAGTAGGCGGTGATGGAGCTGGCCTCACACTCAGGTGTTGCTCTTTGCCCATAAGCAGGGCAGTTCTGTGTTGCCCCTCAGGCAGTCAGCCAGCAGTGAGCACCCTCTATGATTGTGTAGCTCCACCTGAGTTGCCACGGAGACTCTCTCTCCCCAGAGGGACCTTCGGGTGCTACTCTGAAGGGACCCAGAAGTGCAGTGGGCTGGCTCTGGCCTGGAACCCCAAGCATCTCAGCACACACAGTCCTGCTGCTGGTCTGTAAGTCAGGCCATGACTGTGCCAGTGTTTTTTACCATGCCTCAGCTGGGACTCTCTCCCCCAGCCCCAGGCTGGGCCAAAGTGTCCACTCAATGCATGGAAGGCCTTTTCCTGGAGGTGGCGGATCAACCTGGGAGATGTGCCATTAGAGGCCACAGGGGCTGAGGACAACAGCCAAACCAGATCCCCCTTCAGCCCCTCTCTCTTCGGTTGGCAAAGTTCTAGTGAGCACCCACAACACTCTGAGGCCCCTGCTACTATCCATATAGTCCATGGACTTCCTGCCCACTAGAGTACAACTCTTGAGGACAGGGACCTTGTCCACTTCCCCAGTACCTGGTGCATGGTCAGTCTTGAAGACAGCCATACTGAATGAGAGGAGCCCACATTTTGAGACAGGAAACTGAGATGACTTTGCCTCCACAGCTGCCCCAGGTGGTCCTGCTCCTTTTACTTCCCTCTCTCTGCTCACCAGTGGCCTTCCTGCCAGAGGGCCAGCTACAGTCTCTGCAGTTTGACCCCTGCCTGCCTGTCAGTCCTTCCTGTCCTTTTCAGGAGAGGAGGGGAAGCTGCAGACTCTGTCAGCACTCCCCCCTTCCCTTTCCTCTGGCTGGGGAGGGTTCTGGGGCTCCAGCGGTGGCCTTAGTACCAGCTGCTTTCAGAGGCAGGAAGGAGAATTGTTTATAGATTTGTGAGGTTCCTTTGCAAGCTGAGAGGACACGCTAGCTGCCAGGAAGACCCAGGCAGCCTTATTTCTTGGGTTTGGGGATCTGAGAAGGGGTTGGAGGCCCACTGGCTTTTGGACTCTCCTTCATTCGACTTGAATGGCCTCTTCAATAGAACCCCAGTATAAGAATGCAATGTGAGGAGCAGAGTTCCTCTGGATGAGGAGAACCCTGGGTAGCCCCTACAGCTGCTCCCTGAAACCACAAAACACAGCATAAAGCTGTTCTAGCCCAATCTTCCATGCAACGATGGGGAACCAGGCTCAGAGCAGGGAAAGTCATTTGCCCGAGGTGCCAGGCATGCTGCCCCAGGGCCTGGGCTCCTGACTTTTCCCACTGCTACTTGCCAGGGAGGCGGCAGAGGGGAGCAGACGGGGCTGCCAGCCCCCAGGTAGCCAGGATCTGGACTGAGTTTGTGGGCCTAGCAACTGGAAGCCCAATGCTCTGGAGGCATAAGAGTAGGCAGGTGAACAGGCAGGCTGGGTGTAGGCCGAGAGACAGACAGACACAAGGATAGACGCGCAGATGGGCAGATAGCAGCTCAAGTCAGACGTCTGCTCTGTGGGAGGCTGGATGCCCTCGGGGTTTCAGCAAAACTTGGATGCAGTGCCCAGGATGAGCTTGGCCCCAAATGGGGCTCTGTGATCACAATCACCTTTACGGAAAGGCAGGGTATGTCTTCTTTGGAGATGCTTAGGTTGAAGGGATGGAGAACTCTTGTCCTTATCTCTTTCTGTAATAAAACAGCTCTTATTTTAATAAAAATCCAAGCCCTCCAGCAGACAGTTCACAGGAAAGAAACAGATCAATAAACACGAAAAATTGCTCAGGCTTATTCATAATTAAAGCAATATAAATTAAAGCAACAATGAAATAGATAACCAGTTTTCAGTCATTACAACGATGCCTTTCTAAGAATCCTAGTTGCTTCCATTGGTGATGAGACACTGGTTTCCCCTTGGTGGGCTCCCACTCTGTGCAGCCTCTTTGGAAGAAGCCTTGACAATATTGGTCAGTACAGGGCAAAACCATCACCAAACATTCCCCCCTCCAGATGCTGCAGTTCTACTTCTAGGCACCTGTTCTACAAACATGTTCATGCAGGTGTGCAAAGAAGCCTGTCCAGGACTGCACAGAGTGACGGCGCTGCTAAAACTGGGAAGTTCTGGGTGCCCCGATGCCTATAAGTGGGTCAATAACATGTTGGGGTGAGAAGGAGCAGCTGTGCAGTGAAATGCTGCAACGAGATAGGCCTGCCCCAACACCAGAACATCCCCAAGGCACTCTGCTCCTTCAGAGAAGTCATTTGCAGGGCCGCACAGCATGTGCCTTTGGTGTAAGACCTCATTGACTCAAACTCAGTACACAGCGAACATAACAGCACACATACAAGGCAGACATGCTCTGGATCCCTCTTTCTCTTCCCAGAGACACCTGTTGAATGTCCAGGTAAGAAGATCTTCTGGTGCCCTGGACTCCTCTGGGGGGCCTTCTCTTGAGGTGTCAGTTCTCTGCAGCTTGCCATGCACACTTGGCCACCGGCCATCCTCTTGGACCCAGGTCTCTCAGCACTTGAGGTGCTCTGGCCCTTTGGGCCCCTAAAGTTAGCACACCAGACAGTGGAGGCTTTTCAGAATGTTCGGAGTGTGAGATTAGGACCACTTTCAGAGGAAATTATGATGTAGATTATGATCATGGAAAAGTTAGTATGTTAGAGACACACTAAAGGATAAGTTCGAAGTTGCACACAAATCGTCTCTCACGTCCCAGCTGTCCTTGGACCCCAATCCAGGAGAGGCAGGCATGCTGGAAGGATGAGATGCCAGGATTACTGGGTGGTGCAGGGGCCCCAGGAGCGGGAAGGTGGTGGATTCCTGAACCACCAGGGGGCAGTGTATCCCCGTGAACCCAGGACGTCCCAGCAGCTTTTGGCCATTTGGCAGTTGGAGGGGAATCAGCAGCTTGAAGCCCCAGGACATGTCAGCACTTGCACAACTCCCAGCACTTCTCACAATCTAGACAATCCTGGGACAGGGTGTGTGGGGGGTGGTCTTCAGCTCCTCTGCCCATAGTGGAGACTGAGGTCTGAAGAAGGGAAAAACTTGCCCAGGGTCAGATCTTGAGATCATGGTGAGGGTGGGCATGGCAAAGGGTTGCCAGATGAAATCCAGAAATGCAGTTACATTTCTATCAGGTAAACCAGGAATGATTTATTTATTTATTTTATTTTAATTTAATTTTTTAAGCATAGGTATATCTCAAATGTTGCATGGAGCATAACTACACTAAGAAATGATGTGTTGTTGATCTGAAATTCAGGTTTACATGGCATCCTGCATTTGGATTGACTCCATATGGCCTTTATAACTGAGCTGACACATGGGGTTCCTGCTTCCCAGGCCCCTGAGCTCCCTGAACACACTTGACAGTCTCTCTGCTCCTAAGACAGCTGTCCTGGAAGCTCAGGCTTCCTTGAATCTGCTCATTGAAGCTGTGAAGGGCTGCATTGGGAAGGCCCCAGGAATACAGGGAGAGCTTGGTTCCCTTGCTGGACAGATGAGGAAGTGGGGGCCAGGCAGCCCTAGACCACATCACCCCTTCCAGCTGATTCTGGCCCCTCCCTTTCCTGGGACTTTCCTTCCTTCCTTTCTTCCTTCCCTGCCTTTCCCTGACACCTTTCTTTCAGCTGGCCCTGCTGTGCTAGGTTCCTTTTACAACTAGCTTCCTCTTCTCCCAGGGGCTCTGGGCTGTTCCTGCCAGAGAAGTTCAAATAGTTCATGAAAAATTGAAATTAGAGTATGAGTTTATTTTAGTGTCCAAATTTTTGAAATTCATGTACTTGTTCATAATACATATTTTCCATGAACTTTTGAAAGACCCCCCCCCCTCATATATATTATGCATATATTACACACACACATATATATAAAGGAACTAGCCCACATAATGGTGGGTCTTGGCAGGTATAAAATCTGCAGTGCAGGCCAACAGGCTGGAAAAGTGGACATGAGTTGATGCTGTGGTCCTGAGGCAGAATTTCCTCTTCTCTGGGAAACCTCAGTTTTGGCTCTCAAGGTGTCTTTAACTGATTTACTGAAGCCCACCTACATTATCAGGGATTTAAAGTTGACCAATCTTGGATGCTAACAACAGCTAGAAAATATCAGCATCATCACCAAGATTGGCATTTGGTGGGCTCACTGGGGACTAGAGCCTGGCTCAGATAGAGCCTGGCTCAGATAGATGATGCATGGAACTAATCACTACACTGGCAGTGGTGCAATTAGTCAGGAAGCTGAGGGAGAACTGGGACTCAGACCAAGGGATGCAGGGTCTGAAGTCCTTGAGGATCCTGGTGGCTGCAGACAAACTCTCTCCTTTCTTGCTCTTCCCTCCTTTGGTTCTCATGGTTCTCGCCCAGGCTGGCCCAGGTTAGAAAGAGACCACTTATCTTGCCTGAAGACTCCAGATTAGGGGAGGTGAGATGTGCCCTGCTGAGAGTTCCTGTTGCTAGGGATGGTGTGGCTTGGGTTACTGGTCAGAGCGAGGCTTAAGAAGACATGACAACCCTGAGACCCACTGCTTTGTCTACTGACTGATCTCAGGCCCTGTGCCAGTCTCTGACTCTCCCTGGAAATGTATCCATCTATCTATAGATGAGACATCTATAAATGTATCCATCTATCCCCTGGGCTGAATCAGGGGATCCATGAACTAGAGCAGTTCTCACAGGCAGAAGCTCTGAGCTGTATCTGTTCTCCTAAACTGCTTACAGAGTAGCAGGTAGGAAGTCTGTGAACTCTGGCAACAAGATACAGCTAGAACAGAAGGTGCTGCCTCAAGGTCTGCGTCCAGAGAAGGAGTCCAGCCCCACCCCCATCTCCGGGTATATCTTCCTTGCGCTTCTACCCCTCAAAGAGGCGATTTTCCAAGTGCCTTCACTGCGCACTGCACCCTGTGCTTCCTTTGCTATAGTTTATAAGTGACTAATTGGCTGTGATGGCAGGAGGCCCACCTAGCATCAAGGAGGAGATAGAAATGTCCATGAGCGAAGAGCTGGATCCTAGAAGCCAAAGGAAAAGCCAAGAACATCTGATAATAGAAGGTGAGCATCCCCTAAAATGCTCCTTAGCTATAGCCATCCATGTAGATGTGTGTCCACACCTGCGCATGCATGTGTTAGAGAAGGTGCATGTATGCGTGAACATACATTATGTGTACACATGTACATGTTTGCACATAGATGTATGTGTGTATCTTGGCCTTGGAGAATTTATGGGTTGGGTGGCAGGGGAGCTGAGGGGCAGTCTGTGAGGGAGGAGGTTAGAAACGACATCTATGATCCCTCTGTCTCACCCTCCTTTAAGCCACCACCATGTCTAGTGCAAGGTGTTTGGAAGGCTCACTGTATAAGACCAAGGTCAATTATCTCTCCCAATCCTCTAATACCTTTTCCCATCCTTTAGAGTAAAATCCAAACTCCATGATCTACAAGACCCTTATCAAAGTCACTACCTCAACATAGTTCATGCTGTGTGACATGCATGGAAAACCCCCTTTCTGTGGCACGCAAGGGCATCTCATACCACACTGCCTTTCCATCGGTTCTTAAAACACTTCGAGCCTGCTTCTAACTCAGCCTTTGTACTTGCTGTTCCTTCTGTCTGGAATCCTCTTCCTCAGTTTCCCAGGGCTGGGGTCTTTGTCTTCAGGCAGGTTTCTGCTTCAGTATTGCTTCCTGTTTTTATAGTGCAGCCCCTTCCTTCCACCATGTTGCTATTTGTGGAGAGGCATCTCTGTTTGGCTTCGCACTAATGAATTGTTTTCTGTTTTCTACCTGCCACTCCAACCAACAAATTGAGGTGGCAAATAGATGTTGACTGATTCCTGAGACGTTTGGGGACCCTGTCTTCTTTCTGGTGTGTCTCCTGCCCAGGAAACCCTGAAAAAACTTCTATGAGTGTGGGGTGTCCTTTTCTCTAGAAATGATGGATCATGGATCCCGGTCCTCAGGTGCCTCCCAGAGGCGACATAAGTCGGAACCGAAGGCTGCTGGCTCTGCTGCTACCCAACCAGCTCGGACTACGACTGCCACCCGCGCCAAGAAAGCGGTACTGTGTGGGGTCCTCAGCACATGGTGGCCAGGTTGGAGTTGGGAGAACTGGTTGTAGGGATGCTAGCCTGACTATGGTAGGTCAAGCAGGGTCAGAACTTGACTTCAGTGGAGGAAGAAGCTCCAGTGTCTCAGGCAGGCAAATGAGGGTAGGAAGGACCAGGAAAAAGTCAGGGCTGTCCTTCAGTATGCTGGTATTTCAGAATACCTGAGCACATATTATTTGGAAAATACAGGTATACTTTACTCTGTAAAGCTCTTGTGTGTAAAGTGACACTTCCTTTATTTAAATCGTGTGTGTGTGTGTGTCTATGTACAATTTATAAATAATGTAAAATTATATGTATTAGGTAAAAGGTCTGGGAGTAGGGTAGAGGTAAATGAAGTTCCTATGCTACTCAGCTGGTGGGATAGCCAATCAAGTTAATCTGATCATTTCCTAACCAGTCTTTTAAGATACAGTCAGTGTGGGCAAAGGAATGTTCCAGAAAAAAATGGTGGCTATACTTTTGCAAAGGATACTGGGAAAAAAGCAGCCATTTTGGAGGAGGATGGAGACTTAAATTTTCTAGGGAATCTTGTGACACCCACAGTTGTGTCCTTTAAGATACATTTACTTGAGGTTTTCTAAAGTTTTAGAAAAACGGTTGTTACATATTGCAAAAGTTGCTGGGGAAAACCAACCAGGCTGGAGAGGAGAGAGCACTTAACTGTTAAAGGGAATCTAGTGAGTCTCCTGTTCTGTATCTAATCCTTTAAACTACTGTTAATATGGATGAGGAAAAGTTTTAGGGTTGGAAAGGGATAGAATCCTGACTATTCTAGGGACTCATGTGAATCCACAGTTCTATAGCCAGTCCTTTAAGCTGCATTCACTGTGGTTGAGGGAATGTTCTAGAAAAATAGTGGGACTCTTGTTGCAAAGGTTACTGGGAAGAGGTAGCCATCTTGAAGAGGAGGGAGACCAGATTATTCTAGGGAATCATGAGAATCTCATTGTTCCATAGCCAGTCCTTTCAGTTACAATCAGATGGGTGAGAGAAAGTTTTGGAAAAATGGTTGGCCATTTTACTGTTACAAAAGTTGCTGGGAAAAGGTGATTAAATTGGAGAAGCAGGGAGACCTGATTGATAGGAAATGGATAACAAAGAAGTGAATAATGACAAAAAGGGTTTCCAGGTCAGAGAGCTCCTGTGAATAAAACCAAGTCAGAAATATTTAATTGGCTTTATGTGTCTAGAGACTGATGCCAAATCCAATTGTTATTTGTTTTTGAATAAAAGAATGAATGGAATTTTTATTGTCTCTGGGAGAATCACAACTTGCAAGGATTTTTAAAAAAGCTAATACTATGCCGCTAATTTTGGAGAAAAAGTCGTATGCCTCAAAAAAATACATGAAAAAAAAATTACGGATTTTGAAGTGATCAACAGAGGGAAGTTGGAACTCATTGCAGTCTATAGAGCTTCCTAGTCTAGATCATGTGTGTTTAAAAACTTCTATTTTTTGTATAACTCCAAATAGAGTTTCTAAAACAAAAAATAAAAAAAAATAAGACGAATAACTGTGGGTGATCACAGTGCAAGTTATCATTAACCTGAGGGTTTTGTTATATTGATTCTTATTATATTTATGTCTTTGCAACAGACAACAGACAAAAAAGCCCAGCCACTTGTCCTTATTTTGCCTTTAAAAAAGTGTCCTCTATGGACCAGTCGGTGATATGGAGTTAAGGCAGCTGGATCCCACATGACTAACTGTGCAGTTTGAATCTGGACCTGGTGGCTTGAAAAACATGGCAGACATGTGGGTGTGTGTGCCCAAAATCCCAAGAGGGGATGGCCATCCCCTCTGGGTTTTTTTTTCTCTCCCTCTCTCAAGCTCTCTGTCTCCCTGGCAAGCACACATACCCTATAGAAAGTTAAAGGTTAAACATATGTCCTTCTGATTCTAATTTATAGGAAAATCAAGGAAATGGTCTGGAAACTGTTCTAGGAGAAATTCAATCAAGTTCCCCTTTAGAGTCCTTGAGTCTCTCCGACACTCACTGTCCTTTTCATGCTATTTTTCAAGTATCTTAAGAAGATAAAACATAATGACTATAAACTACTATTCACAAAAAAGTCACACCAATATCTGTGCACTACTTTTGAAAAAGATAAATTTTGCATTATTGTGACAAATGGAGCATGGTGGCAAAGTTCCTGTGAAAATCCTTTTGCTGTCTTTACTGTCACTTGATAGAGCAAAGTGTCTTCGGTTCAAATGACTGATCTGTTATTTACCAGCGTATGACTTGGGCAAGTTACTACACCTCTCTGTGTTTCAGTTTCTCCATCTTTCAAAATAGGGCGATAACAATAGCCATTTTCCAGGGCCATGATGGGGATTTAGTGACTCGATATCAGTAAGGGCTTAGATGCTGACATGGACCTCAGCGTGTGCTGAGCAAGCAGCTCCTGAAGCATCTTGAACTAGCAGCTTCCTGGAGCTGGAATGCGAACCCAGGCTGATCTGGCACTGAGCCGCGTTTTGTTTCTTTCCCCCACGCTGGCACCAGATCCTCCTGGCTTGAGAGCTCTGGACATGAGGCATACCCTTTGAGGAGTCATTAGCAAACGGTTAAAAATGAAGGCTCCAGGGATGACTGGGTCCACCCAGAGAAGAGATCTGTTATTCCCAGGAGCCAAGGCTCTAAACTTAGCTCTGACACTCACCATACAACCTTGACACGAAGGGCCTGACCAGTCTGGATCACTCTGACAGTCAGTTGGTTGCTCAGCCTCAGCTGATGTTTGCATGGGAACATTGTGGCAGAGGACAGGAACCCCTGCCACTATTTTTCCTTCTCTGGCTGAGCGCCATCCAGGAGCTCGGGAGCATGGAGCAGGTGGGATAATGGTAGGCAGTCTGTTAGTAGAGTCCCCAGGATCTCCTTGTCTGAAATTGCCAGCTTTTGATTTCAGAGGATTAGGTGCCACATGTTTCCCCATGGGGTGCACTGTTGGTTCCAGGCAGTGTAAGTTCTTCCTTTCTTTAGGGATCCCAGTTGCCCAGGATGCTGCGAGAAGCAGACCATGGTGAAGCCCATGTTTCAGAGTATCCTGGCAGCTTCCAAAGCATGCAGTTCCCTTATGAGAGGTAAGAAAAGCTGGGACTCTTTGGGCTCTGGCTGCATGAGGGGGGCTGTGTCGGAGGAAAGAGCTGGTGGATGGACTGGCCGGGAAGGAGCTGTGCAGAAGCAGGCTTCTACTGCCTACTTGCCACAAACCCCCAAGCAGCCTGGCCCCTGTCTATATGGGGCTCCAAGTGCTTTGTGGGCAGGCCAGTTCCCTGGCACGCCCTCTGGCTCTTAGCTCTCTTTTCCATGGAAGGACAGGACTGGAGGCTAAGAAGCCCCTGCTCTTACCTGCTTGCCTTCATGACCTTCCCGTGCTCTCTGCCAGGCCTCCCTGGGACCACAGCAGCTCTGACCCTCTGTCTTTTCTCTCAGCAACCCCGAGGGAGATGTGATTGCAGAGATTGGCCTGGAAGGACTCAGTGTATTGGAGATGGAGGTCATGAGAAGACAGGTGAGCATGCCCTGTGCAATGGAGGCAGAACCTGGTCCTTGGTGGTATTGGGAGGCTCAGCAGCTGTGAGGCCCCCAGAGTTGCATAATCCATCACAATAATCTCATGCTGTGGCACCCAAGGTGAGAGCAGGCTCCCTTCTTCTTCCTCCTAGTCCCCATGGCTCTGGTGCCCCATTTTCATGCCCAACTGCCCTCCGTCCCTGAGACACTGGAAGGGAATTGGGGAAGAGAAAAGAAGGAGGAAGAAGGAACGTAACAGGATGAGAGTGATGGGTCCAGAGAATGATATAAAGAGAAAGGTCTGAGAGACGGCTGTCTTTGTTTTGCCCAAGGTCAAGCCTTTGGAGGAAGAGAGCCCAGGGCACAGGGCATGGAGGGAGATCTTCCTGGTGCCCTCTGTAGTCACTGAGTTCAGCTCTCACTCTGGTTCTGCTGCCACTCCCTTGCCAGCCAGCTCTCCCTAGGATGGAAGGGCCCATCCTAGGCATGGCTGGGTGGGCTGGACTGGGCTGGGCTGGCTTCTCCCAGAGGGCTGGCATGAGCACCAAGCACAGGCAGGGAGGAAGCTGGCCTGTCTGGCTCACCCAGTCCCACTGCTTCTCCCCTACGGACACACTGGCCTCCCCAAAGGGCAGAACAGCTGCTTCTTGTTTTAGCTTCGCTGATGTGCTGTGGGCTCCTGAGAAGAGCCTTGCTCACACGCCTGCTTTCTGCCCCTCTGTAGCTGCACTTCATCACGAACCGTCTGAATGCCCTGGAGGAGCAGGGCGCCACCTGGCGCCAGAGGGATGCCCTGTTCTTCACCTTGCTGGTGTCCACCTGCATTGCCAACCTGTGGCTGTGGATGCGCCAGTGAGGCTTCACACTGCTGCCAGCACGCAGAGCCCTCCCTCTTCCCCTCTTTCCTTCTCTCCCTGGCTACCCTTGCCCACCCTCCTTCCATCTCCCAGTGGTCCTCAGGCAGCATCAGGACCACTTTTCAAATCTGGTTGGGCCCTCTGCTTAGGGAGGGCCTCACTTGTTGGGAAGCCCTGAGCAGGTAGAGATGCTGCCCCTTTGGAGGGTGAGGAGGGCGGCACTGGGCTCTGTGGGAACAGCAGTGGAAGACACCTCTTGCTGGCCTGTTTGGGCTCCCTGGCCTTGCCTTGGTGACATCAGCTTGGCCCCTTCTGTACCATTCTCTGTGGGCAAGGGTTTAGCTTTGTCTTCCTTCCTGGTTTGCTTCCACATGGCACATAAGGCTCTGTATGGAGAACAAGCTCAATAAAGGTCTATGTTAGTAGCAAACCTGGTGGCTGAGGTTCTTGCATCCAGGACTCATTTACGGGAGGCAGTGGTGGTGAGGCATGTGGGGGGCTGGCCCTTCTGGACAACGGCTCTGTGACTGGGACTGGGCTGTTGTCATTGCCCCAGAGGCCCTGCTCCCCTCCTCTCTTCTACCCGCCCCTCCTCTAGCATCTCCAGCCCAGACAAGGAGCCTTCTTAGAGATGGGATTTCACCAAGTCCTTCCTATTGGGCTCCTACCAATGAGTACTTGTCAAGAAGCGGTTCTGCAGGGCATGTCTGGGCCAGGCATTGCCCAGAATCACTCAGAGAAAATCTTCTGGAAGGACCCAGAACCCTTGCCACTTGTCTAGGAGGAAGTTGAGTTCCAGGGGAGGAATATCCCTGGGGTTGCCCAGAAAGACAAAGACAGGGCTGCGTCTGGGTGGGTTTCCCTGGTCCTAGCCTGGAGCTTGGCTTGCCCCCACAAACTCACCAGGGAATGAGATCCTGCTTTGTCACCCCCACCCCATGCCACACACCCTGGATCCAAAGACCCAGGAAGTGCCTTGGAGAGGGCATGGGACTGAGTCTGTGAGGTTGCAAGTGTGTCTCTTGGCGACCTGGCCAGGCCATATGGCGGGCTATAGGAGATCTGCAGAAGAACCCCTTCCCTGGTGCCAAGGGATCAATACAAATCTCTCTGGGGTAAGGACCTTGAATTTTCTCAATGACTTAAGTGGTTGTGTGGACCTTTCTTAGTCCCTAAATCTCCAAATATTCATCTATAAGGGTGAGAGATCAGTGAATAGGTATGAAATGAACATGACCATGTGTGTGTGTGTGTGTTTGTGTGACAGAGAGAGAAGTAGAGAAAGACAGGAGAAAGAGAGAAAGAGGTAGGGAGACACAGCAGTGGGGAGGGAGGGAGAGAAAAGAAGCTCAAGTCCTGGAGCC